AATGAGATTGGTGCAATGGTCCAATTAAATTTTGGCGGATAATACATTTTGTCAAAGTCCGCCTAATTTGTCTAATTATAATCTAGCGTGTAAGCGACTGCCCGCGTTGAATAGTTATTTTGACCATCCAAATTCGTTGCAAACCCCGTCATCTTTATAAACGCACATTCCCGTCGTTCTTGCGGTTTGATCTTAAAATATAGACATATAGCGTTGCTGACTTTTTTAGATCATTAAAAGAGGAATCATTGTTTTTTACATATTTTTTTTAACCTTTTGAGCGTACACCTCGGAAAGCCACAGAGATGAATATTTTTCCCAAAAATTTTCACGTTTCTCGCTGCACCTTCCTCAATAAATGCTTGAACTAACACAAAAATATGTTTTAAATTCTTTAGCTTTATATCGTTGCATTTGTACTTTTTCCGTCTGTAAAGTGTAATTATTGACATTACACGAGCAATTATTCCCAGGAAATTGACAGAAATGGCCCGGAATATAATTAAGAGCTTACCTCGTAATACGATGCGCGTGTAATTGGCTAAGATTGATGGCCTCCCGATAGTACGAGTAACTCGAGTCAAAAATCACTCGTACCACACTCGGAAACAAATCATTAACTACTTGTTTATCTTAAACACATAACAAAGCGCGTTCGAATAAAAGTGGTAGCTTCATACCGTTACTTACTTTGTCTATACATTTGTCATGAAATAATAACGGATCGTAGTTTCGCATTTTGAAGCGTTTAAATTTGGTTTTGTTTTTAATGAAGTAGATTTATTGGGTATGTTTCTACAACTATCTCTTAGTGGTTCCAACACGCACATGCCCTTGGCGCAATAGTAGGTGGCTAGTGTAAAAAGTTTTAAATGAATAAACAAATATTAACACGGCAAACTCAAATCCATTTTTAACACACCATATTGGTTTGGATCACAGTTTACCGATAAGAAGCCACTAATAAAACAAATATTAAGAGGTGTCTGACTCCTATTGGGTACACGTACCCACTTGTTTGTTTATATCTTGAATAATCCAGTCTAATGCAAACAAGTCGACTATTTCGTAAAAGCACGTTTTATAATTTTGGGAGTACTATCATACCCAAAAATAGGGAGTATCTACGGTCTACATTTTCCAGTAACAAATAGACTAGAAAATTAAAGTGACAAAATAATGACGATTACATATGTATGGAAATTTACCTTTTCCCTTTAAATAAGTAAAATACTTTTAACGGTTTAATACGCAAAATGAATTACTTAACTTATTTAAAATGTATTGTAAATTTGTTTTTGTTATTGTTAAGCGTTAAGTAATACATTTCACATTTTAAACCGTTAAAAGCGTTTTATTTAAATGTGTACTACTTGCAGAATGTATCTTTTTAAAATTGTCCTTGCAGCATTTTAGAGGCTTGGAAATACCAAATAAAAAGAAGTGGTAAAGAATGCACATCTATAAACACTATTAATAAATATAACTATGATTATGTTAGTAATCAGATTTTGATAATTACTGGATGTTTTTAATGTAGTTATTTTTCTATTGTCTTGTAATTAAATATATTATATCCATATAAATATTATCTGTTTCATTCCCGATTTCTTTTTTAATTTCTGAATTATTAATTTCATTTATTATTGTTTTTAATATTTATTTATTCATTTAATTTTGACGCTTCCAAGAAATATTAAAAGTATACAAAACATAACAAATAACTTAATTAACAAAAAAAAATTAAAAACGCCTATTTTTGATGCTTTATTTGTATAAAGTTATTTCATAAAAAAAATACCTTACCTTGAGGAAATACAGAACATACCAAAAGTTTTAATAAGAATAAGAAAGGTTTTATAAGACTTGATATACAATTCATTTTCACAACAAACAAAAAGGTCATCATAAGTTTTACAAGAACTGAAGGGGAATGAGTGACCGAAATACATGAAAAAAAATTGAATTAGATTAGACAGGGACGAATTTGATTTTCAGTTAAAAGATTCATATTACTTACTTTACGACTAGGTATATAGACAGTAAACCGTTATGGTTCTAAAGGAAAGATGCTTACTTTTTATTACCGACGATATCGAGGAGACACTAAAATCTCTGTAATCTCTATTTCTCTCTAAAAAAATCCAAACTCAAGTCAATATCGAAAACCTTGTGCCCTTATTTCACTATTAGAGACGCTTATTGCTTTATTTACGTTGCATTGATCATTGGAGGTTCTGAGATCTAATTCCGGGGAAAGATAAAAGTCGAGCAGAGTCTGTGCCCTAAGGAGAGGGTCTTAAGTTTTAATGTGTAATAATAATAATAAAGGAAATCATACCCATAAGATATTGTTGTTTGTTTTCGTGATAAATAAATAAAGAGCGCGCAAAGATCGTGTTTGGAAAAAGCTACAATAAATTCAGCCCTTTCTCCATTATGTTCATAGCGATTCGTATCTACACAAAAAATGTTTTCACAAGAATATTACTGAGTCATGAATGCCTCAAAAGCACTTTTGTATAATAGAAATGTCGAGGACAAACCTACGCGCTAACTAATGGATATACGACGGACCCTATGAACGGAAATAAATTTCTTTCAACATCCCGCTGTAATAACGACAAGGAACCGCATCTATTTAGTAGTCGTTAAAGTTTCTATTAAAAATCCAACTGTATCACTTGACCATTCAATATTGTGTTCAAACAAGCCTCGAAAACGCATATTACAACGTATTTTCTTTTATATCTTAGTATCCGTAATGATGGGTTAATTGTATATGTTCATAGAACCGTCTGAGTTGTTGTTGCGTCTGAATATAAAACAAGTAATGTTAATCTGCAGTAATGCAAAACATACGTAAATAATAATTAATCATTAGATATTTGAATAAATAACTGATCTTAATACAATCAAAAATTTGCTTACTCATTGGCTCTAAGACGAAACAGATTTCGCCGGGTCAGCTAATATTTTGCATTTAGAGCACATAACATAGATAATATTAGAATGTGAATTACCTTGAGATGCATAAACAAGACGAGATAAATGTAAAACATGTGCATCGTGATTCTTGAATGCGAAATGTTTGCTGTAATGCATTCCGATAGCGGACCAATTATTATGGTGGATCGCAATTTACGATTATGATACCGCTATCGTAAATTTCCTGCTGATTTTAGAAATTCGTTCCAGCTACGGCAATAAGTACGTAGACACCGCGCATTAGGGTGCGTTCGAAATTCGAAACTATATTTAGTCTAGCGTATTTTTTCACACAATTTACATGGAATCATGTGTTTTCACAAGTTTTACATTGGTTTACACGAAAAACACTTTGGACGCTGGTTTACATATTGAATAAATGAACTATCTCAAATTCACTTAGTAAAAACCACAATTTCATGCTAAAATAAATAACAATCTTAAAAATTAATTCACCTAGATGCACAGATATTTTTTTGTTTAGTTATATATTTACGACGTAAGCAAAGTCAGCGACAGTAGAAGGTAGAAGTCCCACTCATGCACGATCGCCGAAAAGCATTACTTACGTCGAGTTAAAAAATAATGACATCAAAAATTAAAAAAAAATATCTGCATAAAAGTGATTTTGAATATTGAGGTCCTTTGGTCCATATAAGGATTCAAATCGATATTTCTATATGTGTGACATCTGTGGCAACAACTTTATTAAAGGTCTTAATATAAATAAAGCGTGAATAAACTCGATACTAGAAGTAGATATCCAAAATCTACGTAAGCTAACGGTTTTCTTTACAAGAAGCATACCGAATCTAGATGATATTTCTTTTCATAAAAAAGTGTTTGTTGAAAAAATATATATTTCATGCTGTAAATTTTCTTGATCTGTTTTTCACAGAGATAAAATTTTTCGAGTGCTTTACTACCTTAACGGTTAAATGTATTTGTCCATGTTAGATGTCATTTCATCGTAGGGATGGTTCTGACATGGGTACAGCAAATTATGATGGCATCTACGGAAAGAAAAATATAGCCGTTAAAGTGTTTTATTTAAATGTGTACTACTTCCGTAAACTACAGACAGTACACTGGTACTGTTAAATTCTCTTGTTTAGTATTTATATGGATTTATATGAATTAAATAAAAGAAAAATGTAAGGAGACTTCAGATTTATTTACAAAAGTTATTTACACATGAAGACAAATATAAGAGAGCTCGTAAAATTTCTATAAGTACCACAAATACAATTAGGTTTATAACAACTAGTAGACTACATAATTAAACTATTTTACTATGACTAGTAAGAAATATAATACTCTTAACTTTATAAAACAGATGAAGCTAAAACAATAATAATAATAAATAATTAATTGGACATTTATTTTTATGCACACGATTTTTATGTTCGCCATGGAAGTAGCTATGAAGCTTAGTATTATTCAGAAATATTATCAACATATTTTCTAAAACAACGTATGTTTAAATTCTTATAAAATTTAACAAATACTAATCTTTTATTTATTAAAAACTTAAAATAATGATCCCTATCAAATAAAAGGGCATAAATTATGTGACATCTGCTGGAACATGAAGGATATTGCTGGCCGAGTTCCCTCGGCTATACTTAAATAGAATTAATTCGTACACTGTATATTTTAAAAATATAGTTTATATACATTTTTTAAACATATCATGTTATAGGATAACGTTTTTAATTACATATTATATACACATGGCAATTACGACTATTTTTGTAAATAATTTTTTCTCGTGTTATTAATAAATGCAATTTATTATCATGTAATACTAGACGTTAATTCGTACTTATATCAATCAATAGTGTGTGTACAAAATACAATAATATTTAATTGTGGAATATACGAGCAGAATGGACATTTGTTCCAACAGCCGATAGATATAGAAATTACATCGAATAACACTTTTGGTTAACATTATCGCAACAGTAACTTATTTTAAGAAAAATTTTGTATGCCATGCTTCTTTATATAAATTAATCTGCAAAACGATACTCTCTTGGATGCGCATCATAGTGGGGGTGTCTGTATATCCCGTTAGGCCTCCGTTCCTTCCAGCGATCGTAAGCGCAAGGCTCCGCCCCGTAATAGCTTGCCCGTCGTGGTCTTTCCGCACGAGATCTACGCTCGTGGCTTTGAGATCGAACCCTCACCAGCTGAGTACCTTGATAGCAAAGACAAACAAACATATACACCTTTTTAACATCCTCCGAACTTTACTGATAATTTTATTTACGGTCAGCGACTTACAATTTTAACTTTTCAACCGGTGTCTATTGAAATTAAAAAAAATCTGAAACATATTGGACTTCTTTTGAAAATGAGGGTATTCAATAGTTCGAATATCGAAATTCCGTCCGGGTTTACGAACCACCGTTCGAAGATGCAAAATCCTTCAAGTTCGATTTCGGTCTGTGGATTTCCGAATATTCTAAGCCAAAATAGGTCGATATCTCATCCTGTAAAGATGTTATATTGATAGGGTGGATAGGATGGATAGACAAGCATTATCTGTCCTCCTCTATCATAAAAAAACTTACTAAAATTGTTATCGAACCGGGAATCGAATTCTTCAGTAAAATGTTATAACCACTAAATCTACAAAGCAGTTACAGTCCTTAAACATAAAATCCCGACCAAGTCGATGCAAAATACGTGATTTGGATTTACTGTACTCTTACATTTATATGTTTGATTTGGAATTTAATATTTCACTATCGAATAAAGGTACCTTCTGAGGTGTGGTTGACAATGGTCTCCCGTACACTGGACGTGTCTCGATAGCGACTCTTCTTGCGTCGAACCTTGCGACAGCAAAGCGTCTCCTTGAAGGCAATCCGATATCTGTTGACACATACACCTTTGTATGATACACCCATAGTAATATATAAGGAATCATGGGTTTCAAATCTATATAAGATAAAGCTCGTTCACTGTAAGTGGGGCATAAAGATATACTACTATTTCTTTTACTAATAAACTTAACACTTACTTACTTTTACATATTGTTTTTAAGCTTGCTTTTTTATTTATAAGCTAGTTCATAAGTCTTTATTCTTGTAAACCATTCCTGTGGTTTAACACTTTAACGGTTAAACGCGATTTATATTATTTAAGAAGTTCGAAGCGTGAAAAATTTCGAGTCGTAATAGTACATTATGATATAAGTGCGGTAAGTTTAAAATTACAGCCGAGGCGATATTACTACTGTTGCTTTCTTATAGAAGAAAGCAGAGGCTGTAATTTTCAAAGCGCACGTATGTCATACGACGTTTTATAACATAATTACGAGGAAATTAATAAAAACAATACAGCGAAAAGAAAAAGCGCGCGGAATTACTTGTCCACAAATAAGCGATGCGCGCGCAATAACGTTTTTTTTTTAGGCATCGGTACAAAAACAGCCAGTATTACTCGATTCACCCAGGTTCACTCGTGCTTTTCGCAGATAGGATATTGTTTTTGTTAATACTTAGTATTAATATATTAGAAGAACTGGCAGGCTTGTTTAAAAATATGAAGAAAAACCTCCTTTTGTACGTTTCTTTTTTCTCTTTTTGACCGATGACATAAATCGAACTAGAATGTTGATTTATCGTAGGCTGGCTTGGAATCATCAATATGCAGTTTAAGAGGGAGCCATAGATGAAAGAGCGCGTTATTAATTCGGAAAATTAATCGGAAATTATCGTCGAGTCACGCTACGACAAACATTAATCATATCGCACTGCGGAGCCAGCTCCGCCGGGATTTCATATTACTTCTTGACAACATGGAACAGAATTATTAAGAAAAGTTTGCATAAGCATTTATCAAATTTTTCTTTACTTTATATAATCTCTATGTTCGTGGGCCATAACGCGGGAACTACGATGTACGGAAAGTTGTTCAATAGAGGTATAGTATCATAAACGTCAGGCCGTAGTTAAAATAATTTTCACTTAAGTTTAACCAATACATTTCGCGTTTCAAACCGTTAAAGTGTTTTATTCAAATATTATTTAATTTTAAATTAACCTTTAACGTATTTACGATTCTGAATACGATTGATTAATTTCGTTAAATTGATAAAATATTAGTTACGCTTACCGATGGCTCATAATGTTGTAAAGTATGGGGTTGACGGTAGCAGAGATGTAGTAAAAAACGCCGGCAGCTAAAAACAAGTACTCGTTGACGGTGTGGTAGTGGGCCACGTTGCTGCCATAAATGAAGAACAGCCTCTGAAAGTGGAAGGGAGCCCAGCACACGAAGAATGCTATCACCACGGCGGCTGTTAGAAAAAAGAATACTCTTAATAAATTTCAATATCATTAGTTAGTAGACTGGACAGTACGTAGCTTTGGCCTAAACTAACATTTGTGGTCATTTATACAACATATAACTATGAAATCGAAGGAAACCAAAATAGTACTAAAGTACTTGTATTCCCATTATGTTAATTTACTTAAGTATGTCATTTTAATAAATTAAGTTATTACATATATAAAATTTCGAAGTTATATTTGTTCCATTGAAAAGACAAACTAAATAATATAATGAAAAACTATTCGCAAATTTTTCATTGTTTTTCCTCTATATTTATTTTTGAAAAAGGAACATAGTATACACATTACATACGAACATACTTGGGGTTCTGCTTTAGTAAGTACTCTCAACCAATTCTTATCCTGAAGCCATACAATTAGCAGTGTTCCCACAAGAATCCCCTCAACGAGTATATGACACTTAGCTTACTACGCACTAAAACTAGCTACAGCTCAAAGCGTTTCTCGGAAGACGAGGCAATTGTTCAGTTTCCTATTCAATATTAACTTGCATCTCATATAGCGAACGGGGTAACCTTGCATACACTATGACAAAGGATAGTGAAAAGTGAATATGGGATCTTTGACAAAAAAAGTATTAACTTTTTCAATATTAACTTTACCTGTAGTGCTAATATCATAGGGTTGGAAAATTGTATCTTACGACGCGAGTTAGATAATTTAACACGATATATCAACCGCCTCCGTTTCTCAATGGTAAAACCATACCGAATATATAGATATATGGATATCGCCAATTAGATAAACAGCACATGATAATTAGGTCTTAAATATGGCTCGGAAATTCCTCAGAAGAACCCCACGCTTGAATGTCCTCTGAAGTAAAAAATTAAATCGACCAGTTAATCAGTAAATACGACTTAGATTGTGATTTATGCTTACTTTGCTTTATTATAAAATATAAATTCTCTAAAACAAAAATAAAGCAGTGTTTGTGTAAAACAGTAAACGTTGACCATGATGTGTTATTTAAGTTCGTAAAGTTAAGGAATCCCACTCTACACTATATACTGTGTTACTTAAGTAGTACGTATATATATACTTAATATTTTTAAAGAAAAACTGCATTCAAGATTATGTGTAGCATACCACAGGCGATTTAAAGAAAAGCTGATCCACATAAAACTTCAACTGTATTATGGTCAAGGAAAAACCTTTTATGAAATGAAAATTTTCTATTTTGTTATTGCATATATTTTAAATTTAAGAAACCGACCTTTTCGTAAATAAAAATTCTAGTTGAGTTTAGTAAGAACGCTGTTTTTAATATAAAAATCTATTATTTTATTTCTATATCTATTTAATGTATGCACCTAGAGCAACAGCCCGGAACGCTGACGATGCCGGTTCAAGTCCTGTCCGAGTCGAAATTTTTTTCAATTTATTTTCGATTTTTCTATATAGTGCCATCATGAGCAAAATATTAAAGTTTTCAAACGTTCCATCCATTTAATATAAATATCTATTAGCGTCTATAATATAATCTATTAACACTTACCCAGCATCCGAATAATATTCTTTCTGGATTGAGCTTGCCTTGCCTCTCCGTGGACGCTGCCATTTACACCATTCAGCGTACCTGGGCTACCCGGGTTGTGGCTATGGGTGGACCTGTGGTGTGCATCATTTAGCAAAATGACATTTTACAGCAATTAACTAAATAACAATTGAAAATTCGAAAGCAGAATAATTAAAGTAATAAGGCATATTTAATAAAGAATTGGGAAGAAAATGAAGTGTGTAATATTACTTGCCAGTTAAACACATTTAAATAAAACACTATGTGGGTTTAAAACGCGATAAACGGGAGACACGTGACCCTATGACCACGGCTCCTGCAAAGCATCAGAAACGTCGGACCCTAGTTAAAATATTATACTTTTAATATTGACAGAAAGGTTTTTTTCTGTACTCTCTCTTTTTATATAGTAATATACGATGAGTTTGTTTGTATGTTAGAACGCGCTAGTCTCAGGAACGACGGGTTTGAATTGAAAAATTATTTTGTCTTGGTTAAAACATTTATCGAGGATGGCTATAAGCTATAAAACATCGCCCCGTGACTAATACAAGCGAAGATACAGCCAGGAATGTGAAAAATTTAGAAAAAAAAAATTAGCTCTCTAAATTATCAAAAAACATCCGCGACGCTAATGTCTATCCTTTAAGATTAACGTGCGACCGCCGTCGTGGGAAATAACTTTCGTTTATAGAGGTGAAGGGGTTTACAAAAACGAATTTGGATGCCCAACAAAATAATGATTCTCGCGGACGAAATCGCTGACAAAGCTAGTATTCTATAATGTGAACGATGTAGTATGCTGTTTTATAAGGAACACTTGATATTGATAAGAGAGTTCATAGATTAATACACAGTAGACGCATCATAGAGCAAGGTTATTACACCAAAATTTGGAGAGCTTATTGGCAATAAACCGATCCGCAAACCAGTCACGTCCACCTGGTTGCTCTCGAACGTGATCCATCAAGTGTTCTCGGGATCATGCCTCCTAAATTCATTGAAACGCCCAACCATGAATCAGAATTACGTTTTGGGGTTCTTAAAGTATACTACTCATATTTCTTTTTTCCGAATTGAAAGTGGAAGAAACTTCCTTCTCCCACCATTTTCCATTCCTTCCAGGCTCAGAAAAATCGTAATTAATACGGCATCGAGATAGACATATTTGATTCAGCTCGCAAGCTTTGCACACAGGCCAAAAATTTAATCCCAATTTCTTTGTAACATGATCTAAGTAATCATTCTTTTGTTTTTCCTTACTACGTACATAGTTATAAAATTTCAGTGTAATTATGTTTCCCTTGTCTGTTGGTAAACGATGTGTTTGCCAATAATTGTCAAATGCAGAGTGTCATGACAAAAGCATTTGATATATAAATATATGTATCCCTATGTAATAAATAAATAAATACGTTTCTAAATTAAAACGATGCTAGTTTGTATCATCTCAGCTTCTGGTACTTGAAATGATTGATATAATTGAAAAATTATAATTCCTCGAATCCAAGTCAAAGCCTAGGTATCTGATATTTGATTCTTTTTTTATCTTTTAAGTAGCAATTCTTTTAATATTAATCCCTGTAAAGTCTATTAAAAAAGTATTATTTCTTAGTATTTAATCCTATCAAAGGAAGCCCCTAAGGATAGTTAGTTCATTAAGATTATAGAAGCAGTTAATATTGGAAGTAATTATGGTTAAATTTAATGTTTAGCTAAAATTTTACTACACAAATATTATGTTGTATTTGAAATTTGAAAAAAGGACACACTTAATTTGATTTCTATGAGTTATGTGAATAAATTATATACACGCATCGGCGATACCTTATAGCAAAATCAACAATTTACCTTACTTAAACAGAATCGTTAGTTTACAATCGTCACTTTACCGATTAAAATTCAATTTATTAATCAAAGAAAGTCTTTTTTAATTTGTTGTAAATTTCAAATATCGTATTTTATATTATTTAGGAGCTTCTCATATTATTATTTTTATACTTATAATGTACGATATTTTAAATGCCTTTGTTGCACTTGCATTTTCTACGCGCAGTGAAACAGACAGACAATGTCTCGTTGCAAGATTATCTGGATCCCACTCTCATAAATTTTTTGAATAGGAAATTAATAAGGTTTAAATTTACGTACAATATGTCTTTTTTAACCACCAAAAGTTATCTCGATTCATTTATATCTTATTAAAAGTATGAAAATACACTAATTACTCCGTAAATTCGTTTATTTATATTTAGTGTCTGAAAACTAAAAATGTTTTCAGATGTTAAATCGTCTCCTTCATTGTTACGAGTATACACGCTCACTTGTCTCTGTGTAACTCTCAAATCGAGTGTAAATTTTTTATCTATTATTTGTTTTTGAGAACCGTAGAATATAATATTCAAACATTCTATTTTTAAATCTCAATTATTTGTTATAAGAAATCTTCCCAAAATCCATCATCGCAAAATTACATTAATTTATTCATGACTTTTGTCTATATCCCAATACATATCTCATGACCCTCAGCTCGATATAAAGCACGGCAAACTGTTAGCCAAACCGCCAATAACCGATAATTGGAGTATCATTAATCCCAACTATCCCGGTACAGCTGTGTTCAGAATAGACTTCCTATAAATATTTATAAATTATACATATGCGTGAGAGGTTATATATATTAAAATTGTTTTAAAACGAGAGATAATATTGCGCCAGAGAATCCATATATTCGTTAAATTTTCCGTGAGACTCGGGGAGACTTTCCGTGACCACGGCTATTGCAAACGTCGAACTCGAGCGTGGATTAATTTTCAAATAAATTTACGTAATATATATCGAGTTATAAACCGTTAAAGTGTTTTATTTAGAAGAATTAAGGAAGTTAAAAACACCGCCTGTGTGATTTCTATCAAATCTTTGTAAATCTGTTAAATTTCTTGTCTTGTCTTAAACTTTATAGATCTCTAAAACTTTTTAAGGGTTTTACTTCACTTTATTTTGTTTTATTTTAATAGAACTGATAAGATTTTAATTAATAAAAGACGTTAATAATAAACAAATATGAATGAATAACAAAACACTTTGTAAAATATTGCCATAATGCATTTTTTGTACGTGTATAAGTTCAAGGAAAAAAATTTATGTTCATTTTAATTTACGGTAACTTTATAAAAATGCCCTTACAACACGGTAACCGCCAACCGGTTACATTTTAATTAACTTCTCCATTATCATTCAAATAGCGTACGTTTTAGCGAGTTAAGCGTTACATTCCTTTGTTTGTAAGTTATTCCAGTGCGTGATGTCCTGTTTATTCTGAATTTTGTTTCGTAGAATTTATTTTAAAGGTCGTAGCTTATTTTTACTGTTATCGATATAATATTTGAGTGGCGGGGCTCACATTAAAGGAATATACTAGCAAAACAGAGTTATTGCTTTCAGTCGTATTTGTATCTGGCAATACAATAGTAACGAAAATCCACAGGTGGTCTACCGCAGAATTGGTCCTAATTATATTTGACATTGAGAAATGAGGGTCTTTCGAGTGGGCGACACGACGGTGATCTAAAAATGCTATTAGGTGAAATTCCGAACTAATAATAATTTCTAATTTATGGCGTATCAATATTGGCGCAGCATTGAAGTCCGTTCTCAAGAATAGAGTTGTTTGCCCGATAAACAATGGGGTGAAAGCTACGCCGTAGCCACTCGTTGCTGTTTGCTACGACGTAGTATTTCGTAGCCTTTTCGCGAAACGATATTGGAACGCTGAGTTCGAAATTAATATTACAAAAACATAAATATTCAAAACTTCACGGCCTTTTGTTCATATTAGCTGTATTATTTAGTATTATCTATAGTTTGCGTCAGTGGTCCATTAATCCATTACATAAATCATTTAACGACTTAAAACGCGACTATAGTAGACAATTTATTTATAAGACGCGCTGCTAATAACCGTAGTCGTTCCAATTCCCACTGGAGTCGACCTCTTTATTGATCATTTATAATGTTTTATAACCCAGTCTGAAAATCAGGACATTAAGGTCGTAGGTATCGATATTCCATCCGGACAAACAATAAAATGGTAATAGGTTTCCATCAAAACAGTAAGGTTTAAATTCTATATTGAGTCGCTACTTTGTACTTACCGTCATAGTGTTTCTAACTATATCTATACGTACTAATAATCGACAAACTACTATAACTAATGCATTTGCGTTTCTTGATCTTTCTTCCACTCGAACTTGCCAACATCTTTACCAAGCGAGACGCCACAAGTAGCAAAGCGAAGAATGTTTTCAAGAATACATACCCCATGACGTACCTAATACGCAAGCCCATTCGGACATATAGACAGAGGATGACCAGCCCGGGCAAGATAAAGAAGAAGAAGCTGCTCAACTCGCAGATGTACCAGGAGGGAAGCTCCAGCATGGCGCAGAACGCTGATTCCATTGACGCATTTCCTGAGTCTGATAGAAAAAAAAAACAAGTTGTACAGAGTATGTGTATGTTAGAGAATTTAATACATTCTTTGTAATGTAACATATTTTAGCCACTTTTGCAGTGACCACGACTATTGCTATCGTCAAAATGTTTTATTTAGAAGTATTTATTTGATTTTAACATGTTCATAGCAACATATAGCTAAAGTTGTATACTTCAATGCAATAATTTAGACAAACAATTAAATAGATTATGCAGGATTATAAAGAAATAAAAGTAAACATATCAAGCCTACACCGCAGTATAAAGGAGCTTATTATGGTATTATAAAAACGTTCTTTGGCACTATTTTGGGCTCAAACTTTAAGACGAATTAAAAATTAAAATGGAAACTGCAAAGTTAACCCAGTTGAGTTTCCACAGACTTATTACTCAGCAACAGGTGATGTTTATTCACTTCGAGACTTTCACAAACAATTTTATCTCTAAGCGTCTCTTGTCTTGTCAAAATATTTTCTATTCGTTTCTTAATTACAAAATATGTGGACTTAACAAAATATACATTTATATTGTATAATTTGAAAACTTTTTAATAGTGTATGGTGGCATTATATATTAAATATTTATTATATTTAGCACAATTAGATAGAGCAGCAGCATGGGACCCTGTGGATGCCGGTTCGAGTCCAGCCCCCGTAGTAATATTTTTCAATCATAATAGATGTTCAATTTAAATACAACACTTTTAATGGGTTAAACCGTGGTATGTATAAATTCCGGATACTTTGCAGCTGCCGTGGTAACGGTAGGCCGGGCTTCTACAAAGCACCCGAAACCTCGGGTTGTAGTCTAACTAAAATTTCATGTTTTAAACCGTTAAAAATGTTTTACTTAAATGTGTTACTCGCGTAAACTACAGGAAATATTTATTTAATTTATTATTTCTTGTTATGGTTATGGTTAACATATAAATATATATTCTTATACAAGTATGAGTTAAAAAATAACAGACAACTTCACCAGAAAACGCTATCTTAAATGATTATAGATTGCGTTTAGCGTGGAAGGGTTTAATTCTCGGGTTAAAATACTGCTAGCCTTTAAAATCGATTAGCGAAACAAACATATAAATGTGTTCGCGAAAGGATTTACTTAGTACTTCACTAAACCACATAAGACACCATTTATTGCCGCTAGGTCACGTGCAAAGTTCTGTTCGCACGTCTAGCGATGTGTAATATAGTTGTGATCGACATTTTGCTTCGTCTTTCATGATGTCTTGAAGAGAGTACGACAGGCGGGTTTCCTACTGAGCCCTATGATTGAATTTGTATTCACACGCACAAATTTCATCTCGGTAATGAATTGATATCCAATACGATTATAATACGCTCTATATGTGTCTCAAAAACAACGCTTGTTGTTTTTTATTACGCATGCCAGTCACGTGGTGTTCGACAAATACACGCGGAGTGTGAAATACCTTTATTGAAAATTTTATGCCCTCGACTTCGTCTGCGTAGCATCAAATTTATTTAAACCCCCCCCTTTTTTTAAAAATTTTAAAAGAATTGCACCTTTTTTTTTTAAAAACCCGCCTCTTTTTTTTTGGCCCCCCCCCCCCTTTTTTTTTTTTTTTTTTTTTTGGGGGTTTTTTTGGGGTTTTTTTTTTTAGTTCAAAGGGTTATGTTCTCGTCATCTAGTTAAGATACCAGTGAAGATATACCTACAAAGACCAAAATGAAACAATTTCCCATTTTAGCAGGTATTCTATTTTTAAATCTTTAATTTTACGTCGGCGTGGGCTGTATAGCCCGCGGAAATAACGTGATAATGACGTATTTATTTCCGAACCGACACCGATGATACAATTCGATAATCGTGTTCTCCAATGACGTTCCTTAATTCAGTTTGTATCATCGTTAGAAAAATATAATTTTATATAATGCCATAGCTTGAGCTGGCCCAATATGTACTAATATTATAAAGCTTTATGGTTTGTTTTTTTGAACGCGCTCATCTCAGGAACTACTAGTTTGAATGGATTTTTTTTGTATTTGTTGGACCTTTATAGAAAGGCAAAATTATATAAAGCTTTATAGTTAGTCTATGGGTATAAAACATCAGGCTACAGGCCATAGGAGCGAACAGAGGGAAATTTGGAAAAAAAAACGGGTATTTTAATCATCTTTGAGGGCTTCCGTTACGCGCGCTGCAAAAACAATTCAAGAAACCAAAAAAACATGTATGAATGAATGATTCTTCTTTATATGATCTACGGATATGACCAGGATAGTATACGTCTATCTTTTGAAAACTTTAATATTTTTTACACGTTATTTCACATGAAGGCACTATATAATTTAAAAATCGAAAATAAATTGAAAAAATTATCGACTCGGGCAGGAGTTGTACCGGCATCGTCAGCGTTCCGTGCTGTTCCTTATTTATTATATATGTCTATCTTTAAGATTTAACTTGCAAAAACGATGGGACACGGCGATGTCGTTGGTAACAGCTGTGATTTAAAAAACAAAGGAGCTTGTTTGGAAAAATAAATAATATAATGCCCAAAATAACTATGCTACGCGGAGAAAGTCGCGGGCACAGCTAGTCGTAAATATAAATAATATTAAACAGTTTATTATACCCAATTGTCAGTCATAGATAGTGAAACTATTTACGATCGCAACCAAAAGCAATAAAGCAATGGATTAGTGAATTGTCAATAAAACCGAATCAGTGTAAATTGTTATTAAGCCGAGTGCGTAGTACCAAGTACGAGGTTGTCGAGGGCGCAATTAATTCACTCCTTTCAGAGGGTTAAGCGAATTATTTCATTAGAATTTAGAGTTAATCAGTCAGCTTTAATTATTCCATGTTTGTATATTAAATCATATTCGCCGCTTTTCGTAATTGGTTTTATATTATTAATTACTGGTTGGAAATTTCGAACAGTACGTATATTGTGTGTACAATAATATTTATCATTTGTTTGTGTCTAGTACTTCGTGAGATTTTAATCGTAAAAATCATTTCACCAATTTTCATAGCTTTAAATTATTTTTGACGTATTTTATACTTTTAAATAAAACACTTTAACGGTTTAAAACGCGATATATTAGTTAAACTTATTTGAAAATTATTTTTAACTTCGGCCCACGTTTCGGATACTTTGCAGCAGCCGTGGTCACGGGGAGGGTGTCTCCCGCGTTTTAAACCGTTACACTGTTTTATTGAAATGTAAAATACATTAATACTGTATGAAGCAACAAATAAACCAGAAAGCATAAAAAACTCTCCCGTACTCAAAAGCTATAGATGAAGAATGTTGACCTCACCTGGAGGATACTCGTGATAGTTGACAGTAGTATAATGGGCAAAGGGCGAGGCCGCAAGTAAGGAGAGAGCCCACAACGCCAGAACTATTCGAAGAGCCCGCCGCAGACCCGCCACTGCGTAGATGTGTAGCGGGTGACAGATGGCCAAATACCTCTCCAGAGTGAAGGCCACAATCGTCAACACTGACACGTACGATGCTCTAGAAATGAAAGAAGAATAAAGTACCAGTTATCAAAAAAATAAAAGTTATATAAGAAAAATACAAATAACATAAAGCCAAAATATGTCGATAGCGCACCATGCTGAGATGTTATATGGGTACTCCACCTTTCATCGAGTGAACCGATGCTCAAATTCCTCAATCATAAAAAAAGTTGTTTGGAAACTTTCATATTCTTCACATGTTATTGCACATGATGTCACTATATACATTGAAAAATGAAATAAAAAATTTCGACGATGACGTGTAGGATGCGGTAGCTCAATTGGTTAAAGCAACAGCAAGCGGAACGCTGTAGATACCTGTTCAAGCCCTGCCCGTGTCCTAATTTTTTTTCGGATTTATAATCAATTTTTAATTTTAAAATGTTGCTTTTTTGCCAATACCTAGTGTTAAAAAAAGTTTTCTAAACCTAGTCTAGGAATCCTTAATGCTTCGACCACTGTGTAATTAAGGTTCTTTAAAAGGATAATCAACGTGAAAAATATAAAATTGCCACATTAAAACTAAAAGTAATTTAATAACCCTTCAAGCCAAAGAAAAACGCCTCCAGCTTATCCCGTTCCTAGAAAGACAATGAAAAGATTTTTATTACACAACTTTTGTTTCTTTGTAAAGTTAACTAGATTTTAATTACACGAACGGAAGGATGGTATAGAGACTACCAAGTATATAAGTACAGGTTTAAATAAAACACTTTAACGGTTAAACTTATTTGAACTAGGTTAAACTTATTTGAAAATAATCATTTTCAAATAAGTTTAACTAATATATCGCGTTTTCTAACCGTTAAAGTGTTTTATTTAAATGTGTACTACTCGCGTAAACTATAGACAGTATTTAAGTACAGGTTTTATCAAATTTGAGTATCGGGCCAATACCCGATAAAATCTTCAAGAAGATTAATTATTTCATACAAATTTTAATTATTGCAATGCCTTTAAAATATTTTAATTACTTAATGTTTAGTCGAATGTTTAATTTTGTTTAGTTTAAATAGTCCAAAGCGGAATGTACTAATATATAAAGCTGAAGAGTTTCTTTATTTGTTTGTTTCAACGCACTAATCTCAGGAACTACTTGTTTAAATTGAAAAAATATTTTTTGTTGGTTAGAGCATTTATTGAAAAAGGCTATAGGTATAAAACATTGACTAATAATAGTGAAGTACCAACAGGAACTGTAAAAAATCTGAAAATATTATTGATATTTTTTGGGTTTACGATGTGTACGCTGCGAAAACATTTCAAAATACCAAAAATTATGCATGAAAGAATGATATCTCTTTAAAATATCTAAAAATTCTCGACTTTATATGTCTATATTTTAACTAACTTGCAAGAACGACTGACGTCGTGGGTAACAGTTTAAATTTATAAAATGAAGAGGAGGTTTGCAAAAACAAATTTGGATGCCCAAAATTAGAATTCTACGCGGACGAAGTCGCTGACACAGCTAGTATTGTGATAATATTGCGGTGAATTCTTAACTGAGGCTTATTATTAAAAAACCGGATAACAGAAATAGCATTTGTGTCCCTCCGATTTGGCTAAACGGGGGTTCTTCAATTTGAATTCTTTATGAGTGAAATCCACTCGACGTATTTCCATTACGACATTGTAATTCAGAATACATCCATACACTAATTGGCAAAGTCCATTGTACAAAGTTTACACGATGCGATATACCTATATTAATTAAACCGTAGCTTTGAGGCGAATTCCTTTCCCGCTTCAGAACTATTTCAGTCGAATTACTTCAAAGCTCTAGTCTGAAGCTAATACGTATAAACATGTATGCAATGTTTTCATAACTTTTCCCATTGTACTAAAGTTGATAACAAATTGCTACGCTATTTTTTATTAGACACCTTCTCAAGTTTGATTAAATATGTCTTAGGCGAGACTCGATCTCATAACCAACTACGTACCGTGACCATCGCGCCACGCTTCTGACTGTCGAGTTTTGAAATCGGACCTGTTTTTTTTAAATTGAAATGAAATTAATTTGACAGGAACATTAATAATATTTAACAGGCTCGATGATGTAACGTGAGCAATGTATGGCTAATAATCAACGGGTCATGGGTTTTAAATCAATTTAGTTTATACATAGTCAGGAGATGTGGATATAAAACGGGTGGTAGGAATATTCCGTCAAAGTCGCGAACTCCATAATTGGTTGTCCTCCTGCACGATCAAAAAATACGAATACATATTAAACATACGAAAATGCAGCCACGTTTGTAACTTATTGAGATATATTGAGGATAAAAGGACAATTCGTCCTTCATTCGGCACTTATGACGTCACTCATTGGAAAAACTATATTTTCGTCCCGCCTACGCGATATTGAACGAATATTGCGTCTTTCGTTATCTTACAACAAATACTTGTGTGGGTAGATCACATAATGCGATGCAATTTTAGCGAAAGGGATAAGGTAAGCTAAAAGGTCGAAAACTATATTGCTAGGTTAATATGTAATTTCATTACAAGGTTAGGCGTGCATCTAACGGATTACATTTTAAAAATAAATTTGTCACGAGTACTACCTAGAAAAATATTTTTTTAAGATTTATCATTTTATTTTTAGAGCAGAAACCAAGGGTCCAGCATCGTAAAAGTAACGTTTCAAAAGAAGACAACAAATTGTATACACAGAGTTTTTTAATATCTATATGCCGGAGAAACTCAGCTTAGACAAACTGCCTTAAAAGTTTAAATTTGCAAATTTCGTATATTCTGCCAACAAGAAAAAACATTTGTGAACAAACAATTTTACGGAACACGTGTAAATCTTTCGAATAACGAAAGGTTAAGTAAGAAAAATCAATTTTACATATTCCTTATTTAATTTATTAAAAAAATAACAATAAAGCATCGTTTATGCAATACATATCAAATAATATATCACTGAATATTAAGGTACATTTTAGCATTCACATTAATAATATGTAAATACCGGGTTAAAATTGGTTCTCCCTCTGTGAGCAAAGCCCTAACAAAATTTAATGTAAAAGGTTTTACAGAATAAAAAATGAAACGTCTGTACTAGCGCAAGCTAATATATTCCTTAACAGTTTATTGAATTATCAGTGCAGAAATTTGACGGTAGAGAGCGCCACATTTTTAACTTTCTCCTTGAAATACCATCTTATAACTAATTTAGGGGATAATACTAAGAAATAACTTTGCATTCAATAAACAAAAAATTAATTACATAAACTACAATTGCCCTTATCACCTTATTGGTCGACGCCTTCTAAAATGTAGTTGACCATGAATATGTCATAATAATTATAATTCGTATGAGATATTATATATCGCAACTGTTTGTAATGGTACTATGGTTTCAATGTAGTTTGAATTTGTAACTTTGCTCTTTACTCGAGTTACACTTCACTAAAAAACTATAACAAGCTCACTAACTAAAAGCAAATACGTTTGCAATTAAAATGACTTATTTCTTTTGCTTATTATTTATATTTGATTATATAACGAATATTGTTACCATGTTATATATTAATACAAATAACCGTTATATAAAAAGTTAAAGAAAGCTTAAAATTTTCTGTTCAGCCATCCAAATAGTGTACGTTCACATATGTATATTAACAATAAACTACATGCCTTGTAACATAAGAAAAAAGTAGTATTGTATTTATATACTTTAAATTATACCTCACTTTTAAATAAAACACTTTAACGGTTTAACTCAATATATTTTCCTCTCAGTGACCACGACTGCTGCAAAGCATCCGAAACGTCGGGCCGTAAAAAAATAATTTTCAAACCAGTTTGAACTAAATATATCGCGTTTTAAACCGTGAAAACTTTACACTTTTTTAGTTTTCTCTTTTCCAGTACCGAATTTTATTAGTCTCCAAAGCCACCGTACTGAGTGTAACTAATAGACATAACTGAAGCTGGTATTAATCATCATTTCTCATGATTAACGTAATAAATGTTAAGAATAAAATGTATTTATTCACAATTAATTCTACCTTAACAGGGGTAACCCTAACGCGACCGAAGTACTATATTTTAATGTACATTACCTTTAAAATAACAAATCTCATGATCTGACATTTTTGGTGAATTCATCCAAAAGGGAGGCAATATCAAATTTCATAATGAAAACTATATTAACAGAGTCTGTTGACATAAACACATAATAAATCAAATTTCTATAATCTTTAGAAACGACAGTAAGAAGTAGATTACACAAACGAACTATATACATATATGCCAGCAAATACTCGTGTCACATAGCAAGTTACTTACTTATTAAATATTGATCACATGATTAATATATTTCCACCGTTAACCGTATTAAAAACGATATATATCTTGACAACGTTATTTGTAAGTCGACATTTTGAGTGATCACCGGGAAACGTACTGCGTCATATTTGTTTTAATTTTCACTGTTTACTTGCCAAATTAAAATTGGAAATTCGTGATAGATTCTGCGTTTTAATTTTAGGGTTTGATTAAACAATATGTTTGTTTATTTATGTGTAGTATTTTTCTTTCCGGAAAAATCGCTGGACATCCCAGAATTTTCCATAACGTAATACTCTCAGAGACGAAACTTGGCCAGTTGAAATTTGTTTTAGCGCGTACCAGGGAGATCGGAAAGGCGTGAAGAAATAATGTGGCTATTAACATAAATGTTGATTTCTCTCTGTATGCGTACGCGTTATGAATGATAGCAATGTATAGCTAACAATCAAGGGGTAGGTTCAATTTCTCTTGGAACCAAATATTTTCTTTTTAACTTATATTTTTTCTGAAACATGTTGGACTTTCATTGGACATCATTTCAATATCTGGATATTCATTGGTTGGTAGGAATATCGAAATGACGACCGGGTCATGGATCACCCACATGTGAAAAAGCCGTCAAGTTTAATCGCATTCTGAATTGGAAATAGGTCGATGGCGCATCTGGTTTAGATGCTATATGGCTGAGGTATTTTACCTACCATTAAGCGAACCTCGTGCCAGACACGCGCGAGGTTCTAATCCATCATAAAAAAGGTACACAATACTTAGATAATCCTCGTGAGCTGACCATAATACATTCTTTTTAAAACGGGTTAGATCATTTAAGTTCAGCAACTCGTGACTTCTTATAGAAGTCCTATTCAATGTCCTTGTAAAGTTTGATTGAAATGCCAACTTCACAACCTATTTCCTAAGAGAGTAGCGAAGCGAATTAAAAACGGCCAATCAGCAACGTTTTCAGATTGAAACTATCAAAATGTTGTTTCTTTGCTTTGCGAATGCGAGTGACGCGGTCCGGCCGAGTTTTAGTCCGAAATGCTTTTGAACAAAGGCAAATTCAGTCGAGTTCACGTTTTCTCTTATATTTATGTATTGTATTTTTAACAGACCGCAAAAAAGGCTCCGCTCCCTTGTGGCATTCTCCGAGAATTGATTCTACCTTCTATCTTCGTGCGATATTTCATTAAACGAAAACATAGCTCTGACTATGCGATCTTTATCACTTTATATGTTTTAATGATAGAGGAGGACAGCATGTGTTTAACGTGATGGTAGGTGAAATAACCCAGTCTATAGCATCTGAACACGATGCGCTGTCGGCTTATTTTGGCTTTGGATATTCGCAAATGCATAGATCAAAACCAAATTAAATTTTATTTGAGATTTAAAAAAATCTGATGAGTTTCGTGCTGCTGCTTCGTGTCATGGTTTCACAACCTGTCCGAGCCATCAAGTTTTCTTATTTATTACTCTTTTTTAATAATGAGCTTATATGTTCAGTGTTATGTTTATGTGTGTAGTGCGGAAAATATAATCTCGGCTTGGCGCTAAGCTTTTATGTCAAATTCATATATTCAACTGTTTAATGTAAATATGCCTATGTTTTATACAAGACACACAAGAGAAATCTATCAGGTTCTTTTTTAATAGCGTTTTTACAAAGGTTATCTTTCACTTTAGCTGCGCATAGCTCTGGAACCTTCATTTATATGGAAATTCGGATCGGAAGCCGCTTCAAAAAGATTTCGTTACCAACACACACAGTTCGATAATATTATTGTGTTGTGAAATTTTACCAGGTACCAAAAGTCATTTAAAATTATTATTCTATCAAAGCACCTAGTTACCTATCCTTAATTTTCAATTTTCTTCTAGATGAGATTGGAAAAGGTATATCGGAAACTACGACTTTTCTCCGTCAATTATTTATTTTTCTTATATATTATTTCTTATAATTCTCTAGCCTTGAAGAGAGACTAAAAAGATAACTATAGCAGCTTCCTTGCGTAAACACATAAATTGCAAAAAAGTCTAAGTTTGCTGAGATAAACATTCTTCCAGTGCTTGAGGACATCGGTTCTCATTCATATTTTACCCTCCAAAGGTCAATGTTAATATAGCGACGTGGACGAAGATAGATTATCTAGAATGAATTCTCTATTGAAAAGAAGACTCTTAAGCGAAATATAGAATAATATATTTAGTGAATTAATTCAAGATTCGTCCGTTTCTGCGGCGCAGTCGCTGTATTATATGTGTATGTATCTTATATTAATACTTGAAAATAATTCCAAACCACATTCAGTTAACCACATTCATTAGTAAAAAAACGCATATATCTGGGATTTTTAAGGGTCCTTCTGCTTTGGAAATCTAAAGCAATAAACGAGCAATAAACTTAAACGTTTTTTTAATGCTACATAAACTTTTAAGGAATACAATACATAGAGGCAACTCAGTAATAAAAATATGTTTAATTAAACGTAACGTGTAAACATCAGTTTTTCACGAAACTTGTACGTATTTTTTCCTTATTGAATTAAGCCTATACTCGAAGTCCCTCGTATTGTATTTGGTGAGCTTTGATTGAACGAGGCCAATTAGGACCCGTCACCCAGTTGAATGTCGTCCAATCAGACTTTGGTACTTTTTACTTTCAACACTCAAATCACTCTTTACAAAGCCTTTCATAGGAAAATTGTACGACTTATGTACCAATTAAGAAGATTAAATTTAATACATTATAATTTTTCTTTTAGATTCATTCATTTCGTGCAATATGCTTTGAATGTGCTAATCTCAGAAACTACTGGTTTGAATTAAAGAAATTTTTTATGTTGGTTCTTGACATTTATCGAGGGACGTTTGCAAACAATAAAACACCATATAGGTTGCGACCAATAAGAGCGAAGAAACAGGGAAATCCATTCATCTTTGGGGGCCCCCCCGTTTGCTTTTTGGCGGCATACATCTCAGATGTATCGCAACCATTTGAAGCTAAATAATACGATGTTCTAGCTATGGCTATATGGCTAGTGTATTTATGAATATCTGTTAAATGTATCGTAATTCCCCTCAACACTGAAAGTCAGCGCTGCAGCTACTTATAGTTCAAAAGCTGAGAGCGTTGTCCTTACTTAATTAAAAGTTCCCCCCTTCTTTGTTCCTTATGTTTGTGTAAAGTAAATTATCAGAAATGGTTTTGTGATTTTTCAGTTAACAATTCTATTTATACATGAGTTCCATTGAAATGTTCGGATATAAATACTGTCTATAGTTTACGCGAGTAGTACACATTTAAATAAAACACTGTAACGGTTTAAAATGCGATATATTAGTTAGTATCTATACTAACTAATATATCGCGCTTTAAGCCGTTAAAGTTTTTTAAAGGTTCGGATATGAATATTATCAGCAAAAGTAATATAAAAAACGTCTCGACTTTTCCCATCACTATTTTTCAGTATAGAAATATTTAGAACAATATATTATATAACGTTACATATTCAGTTCTTAAAATAATTTAGTGAAAACTTTTCCTCTAAGATCCTATTAGCTCTGTTATGTAAAGGATTTCACTCCACTGCGTCGCATATATTTTGCGAAAATGCAAGGAAGCGGTGCATTAAATATTCTAGATTCAGATCAATTGATGGAAAATTTTCCATTTAAATTTGCGAAAGAGACGATAGAGCTGTGTATTTTTAAATTTAGTAATAAGACTGAAACACTTTGAACTTCCATATAAATAATTCTCGAAAAATGAAATTTACTACTTTACAGGTTCGTTGGTAATGGTAACAAAGTTGGTCTACTGCTAATCAAAGGGTTGTGGGCCCGATCCTCAAGACACGTTTCTTATCAATTAATATTTTTCTAATAATATTGGAAATAGCATAAAATTATTAGGAATATTAAAATTCTGCCCGGGTCACGAACCACTGGCCACAAAGATCGAGGTGTTAAATCGTGTGTCGATTTCAGTTGTGGATTTCCTTTCCACCATGTTGAGATATGGCTGGGGTACTTCATCTTCGATCAAGTAAATACTATGCATGTCTTTCCTTCTTTACCACAAAAATAATACAAAGTCTAACGGTCTATAAAACTAGGAAGTAATTTTCTCGCATTCCTATCACCTTATTACAGTTTAGGGAATTATCTGTCTACGCTAGGAATGTAATGAAATCACCGTAATCAAACACGGGCCGCGTAAATGGCTCGATTGAAATCGGAATAAATCTAATAAGGAGCCGAATCTCGGAATTCGTGATAATGGCAGACAATGAGGAGCGTCTCTCAAACAGATTTACTCAAAAGCAATTTTGAGTGTTGAGTGTCTTTTGGGGGAAATGAGGCACGTGGTGCGGCCTGATGCTGTGGCAAATGGTAATATATCTTAATTACACTGCTTTAAAAAAATATTTTTATTCCAATATTCTTACGTTCATGTTACATTTTCTATAAATTAATGGGGGCGTGGGGCATAGGCCGAACACATCTGTGTGCTGTTCTTTTACAATATCTAGACATATATTAAATTAACAACAACTAAATAACCCAAATTATTATTTCTGATATCAAAAAAGTTAAAAATCGATTAGAACAACAGTGTAGAGCGTTGTGGATGCTCAAGTTAATGCGGTTCAAGTCGTGCCCGAGTTGATTTTTTTTTGAACTTATAATCGATTTTTAATTTACATTGTGCCATCATGTGCAACAACATTTAAAAAAGATTAAAGTTTTTAATACACTTAAATTCACTCAAATCAAAATTATTATTAGCGCAATGCTGGAGATCTCGGTTAAATAGTTATATGCTTTGCCCAGCATGACACTCATTAGTGTAGTCTAGTTTAAAATCACGGGAAAACTTAATAGCTTCAGACACCCAGGACGCACTCCGATCAACTACTTGCTGTAAATAAAATCGATAAGTGAAACAGACACCCACGTAGGAAAAACGGGATGTCACGGTTACGAAGGGAATATTAAATAACTAACTGTTTGTAACTAAATATCTATACAATTAAAAAGAAATTATAACTTTCTCTATAACTATTTATCTGATAAAATAAGTGTTGTCTAAAGTCGTTGCCAACGAAGTCGGGATCGCAGACAAAATCTATTATCGAATATGTAACGTTATCCGTAACACTTACGCTTCTGAGATGAGTGCACGTAGCTTACAGAATACAACCCCGAGGCTGTAAGGATACTGGTGCCAGTACACGGAGAGATCATTCGGAAGACCTGGCAACAAAAAAGAAATTTGAATTATATAAAAGCACTTTTCCGAAGATGAAATAACTGTGATGTAAGTGTACATTCCCGTATCAGATCTAAAGGAAGCCTATCAAATTTAAACTTGCAGTTTTTTTTGTACAGGGATAAAAAATAACTTAGTTTCGTTTAGTTAGTGTTTAGTTTTGTAAGGATCCAATACAGCTGCTGTCCAAAACTATTTATTCTCTAATGAACACAATAAAACGGCAAGGTGACTTCGAATAATATTTTAAAAACTCAGGTGTTTCTGAATTTTATAGAGAAGGTTGTAAAAAAACCCGGAATGCCAGAAATGTAATTTATCGAGCTCAGTTATTTTTATATTATCAACAAGTAACCCTCTTAAAAGAACTCGTATCACTTTTGTTATTAATTTTACTTGATTCTACAGCCGCGTTACCACCTCTATAGTCAATGAGTAGGCGCACTCGCACTTAGGTTAAAAGCCCGAGAAAATAAGTATGTTACTGTTGAGCACAAGTCTGATCAACAACTTGCTTGTAACAGAACCGATCAGTAAAACGGACACAGAAATGTGTTTGCCGCATGGAGGTAGGTATGTACAATGTTAAATTGTAAAGTAAAACATGGACTTTAAGTTGCGTGTGAATTTAAATAAAATTGAGAAATTAGAAAAAAATCGACAATGACGTGTAGGACGCGGTCACTCAATTGGTTAGAGTAACAGCTCGTAACGCTGTGGATGCCGTTTCACTTCCTGCTATGTCCTAATTTTTTTTTAATCTATAATCGATTTTTAATTTATAGAAAACAATCACAAAAAATAAAATTAAGATTTCAAATGTATTATTCCATTATGTATATTAAAAAGTGTATTACTGCGTTATAATTTATTTCGATTATACGCTTTATATTTCATTATAATGAACTTTGAGTGAATATAGTATTTAATTTTCCTTACATTCACATCTTTTCATGTTAAAAAGAAATATTTCTATACATAACGTATTTCAATTTAAGACGTCATATTAAATTACTTTCATATAAAACTCACCATGTTTTGCGCTTTAAGATTTCTGAAGATTAAGTATTATTATTCATATTCAGAACTAGTTGTACACACGTCTTCGTCCGCGTGGATGCAGACTTTTTGCAGCATTATTGAATACATTGAAAATACATTTTATTACTGTAGTCGACTATTTTATTTAAAAATAAATAATAAAACATACTATAAGTAGCTAATGTCAAAACAATGCAACCTTTGACGTAATTCTATAAACAATTTTGTCAACTACGTACGTAGCGACGTAACTGCATTAGAATTAGCATACCATAATATATTACTGAAAACCACATCTAGATCAGACGAGCCTTTTCTGAGATAAGCGTGCACAAACACTCAGACAAACAAGTAAAAATTCAAAAAATCATTGTTTCGGCTACTATTGGATCGATTACGGGCTCCTAGATAAATCCTAGTACAGACAGCGGTTACATTTTTATTATATTTTTTATAGATATGAAACGTTTAACGAAGACGCAAAGTTAGAAAAATATTAAACAGGGTCGTTTAATGGACAGTATATTGATATTAAATTTTATCTTATTTTTGTATCTTATTCAATATTAATTTTTTAATGTCATAATAAGGAAGGTATTTTTAACATCTTCGAGAAAGCGCCAGTTTTTCTTTCTTATGAAATCAAAACCCATAACTTATTAATATATACAAATTCTTGTTTGTAATCTCTCAGCATTTAAAAAATATACTTCACTAAAATGAAAAATATTTCTTCATCTAAATACCAAAGATTCCACCGAACAAACAAATTAATAGCGCTTTTACTGCTCACAAATAAAGTAGGTATTATTCGCTTTTAACGTGCTGTTTTACTGTCATTTTTCGTTACAAAGCTAATATCTCAAGACATCATTGTAGCTATTTATTGCTGTGTAAATTACATTGCATTTACGATAAGGTCGCCTACGAAATAAAGATAAAAAAGGATCTTTATGCAAATTAAATTTTTCGCACAGAATCCTATTTAGGAAGACGAGATTACCGTTTATGATGTAAACGGTAATCGTACTTATTCTTGTAAAAACCTTAACTTTAACTAATTCAATATTGTTCAAAATTCATTACAAAGGGTTAAAGCGTTTGATAATTTATCTTCGGTCACCATGTTGAGGAGTAGAATATTCCATCGTTCCATTTTTAAATTGGTATGACAATTTTTTAACATAGTAATTTATTTGGCCGCTAAAACGACAGGTATGGATTTTTATATAACTATTGCTCCATATTTATAAATCTTATTATTATTTATATATATTATATTTCGATTTATCTCAAAGAAGGTTGTCAAAATAAAGCTGAAATTTCCAAGCGTGTTCGAAAAAGTGTATTTTGTATGTTTTATAATGTGAATAGAAAACATTAATAAATCGTAATGAAAAAATGTTAAAAAAAATACTCGTAGCATTCAATTATTCACATAAATAAACCTGTAAAATCCAACACAATATGCATTTGTATAGAGCCCTAAAAACTTAACCCTTCATTTAAAACTCAGTTTGTTTTCGCTAACGAGACTTGAATACTGGCGTATAAAATGTGGTCTGAAAAAAACTCAGTTATATAAAATCCATTAAAATATTTCAAAACTCATGTTATAGCTCATTACAAAAATAAGCAGTCATTGAGCTTTAATGGAAGTAGGTACTTGTATGTTAAGAAGTCTTTCGCCAATTTCGGACATATTAACGTGTATTTTAGTGTAGTATATTATATAAAAAAGATGTTCAAATTCAATAAAGAAGAACCTACATTCGTTCTATATAATTGATAATATTTTAATAAGTCTTATTTTCTATAATATGTACTATATACTCGTTAAGCTTATTTGAAAATTATTTTAACTACGGCCAGACGTTTAGGATACTTTAAGCAGTCGTGGTCACGGGAAGACTATTTAAATCGTTTACTACTCGCGTAAACTACAGACAGTACTATATACTGCACATGATGACCTTATATATATTAGAAGTCAATTTAGATTTAAAAAATAATTGAATAAGTGCAGCACAAAGCACCGGCATCCAAGTCAAGTCTCACACGTGTCCTTTTTTTTTGTCGTAGATTTTTAATTTTATCAAAAAAATAGTTTAATGCCAAGTATTGCTTGTCTTGTTAGCGATATATCAAATCAATGTGTACACATATCCGAATTTACTATACGTGTTTTTCATCAAAATGTTAATTCTATTTCGGCGTGTTTATGCGATGTTTTATATGTTTGTATAGCACGCCATTTACAATTCGTGTTTTATTGCTTTTCATGTAATTTTTACGAATACTAATTCGAAACTCCGAATAAAATAAGACTATTCTTAGATATATTGAAGCGAATTTCACATGCACAACCATTTTATACATGCAATAAATTATGAAACATTGAGTTTAATTTGTGCCGTATAAGCCAATGCCCGAATGATAGTTAGATCATGTTTTACCCTGACTTATAATTTGTTTAAATTAAATATTGTCTGTAGTTTAAGGAAGCATTTTAATAAAACACTTTTAAGGTATATAACGCGAAGTATATTAGTTTTTTATGATAAAAGAAGACGGACGAGCATGGAGTCCACTTGATGGTAGGTGAAAACCCCACGCCATCCCCCCTTATAGATCTTTTTACCATTACTTTAAAAATCGAAATAATTGACACGACCGGAAGACGGCATCGAATCGAATCTTCAGCGCTCCGGGGGAAAAAATTTTTTTAATTATAACTGGCTTCATGTGCAATAACATGTGAAAAATATTAAAGTTTCCAAACCCCCGTGACTACGATCGCTGCAAAGCATCCGAAACGTCGAAACAAAGTAAAAATATGTTAGCTAATATATTTCGAGTTGAAAACCGTTAAAAGTGTTTCATTTAAATTCGTTTTAGTCAATACCGATTTCAATGAGAACAAAAAACCGATTCAGTTTACATATAATCCGTTCAAAGTAGAAAAAGTATGTTCAAGTTATAAGTCTCACTGACTTTTTTCACAATGAACTGTAAAGGAAATATAAACACATGGGACAAAGTTACTTTTCCAATATTGAGAAGGTAAACGGTTCATAAACACGGCGTAATTGCAGAAGTCAGCGACTTTATCATCATTTGCCCGATCATAATATTTTGTGGTTAGTCGCGCAGCGGGTGTTCCGCTCGTTTCCTCTTAACTAGATAATCTTGCCTCCACCATAACTCGTACTATCTTTCTAAGTTTTTATTAAGCGTTTTATTTATGCATTCCGTGAAAAGGAAGTTATAGTTTTGTAAAAAATATTCAGGTAAATCACAGCTACATATTTTAAGTATAAAACTAAATACAATAGCGAAATTAAAAATCGATTTTAGATTCAAAAAAGTTCATGACAGCGGGACTCAAACCACAGCGCAGCGGCATTCACAGCGTTCCATGCTGATGCGCTGACCAACTGAGCTACCATGTCAGCAATTTCATCAGCGTTATTTAATGTTGTTTTATATTAGAAAAATGGAAATGTACACTTAATTGTTTGTTTACAAATTAAGAAACCAACCCACTTTACTTTTCGAGTAAATATAGTTGCTAATGACCTAGAAGAGAGAGACCTAATATTATTTTTTTCTAAGGGCCTATCTATATCAACGTTTTAATATTCACCACACAGTATGATAAGCAAAACCGCCGTATATAGTTAGTTAAAATAGTGTCTATTCTAATACAATTTTAATTTCACGACCTCGTAATCCTATAAATCATAAATATACGCACACAAAAAAATATATAAACAAACAGCTTCTATATTTCTTTGCCGATCAGAACAGCGTTTGTTGATTGAAATATGATGGCGCCTATGTAATGTTTGAAATGTATTATTTTATGTAAATAAATAAAGCTATTCCCTTCATTTTAAAACTTTTTTACATGTTATTGGACATGAAGGCACTATATATTTAAAAAATTAAAAATGAATTTAAAAAATTTTCGACTCGGGCAAGACTTGAACCGGTATCGCTCTACCAATTGAGCTACCGAGAGCAACAGCACGGAACGCTGACGATGCCGGTTCAAGTCCTGCCCGAATCGAACAATTTTTTCAATTTATTTTCGATTTTTAAATTATTCCATTCATATTTTTAATTTGAATTCTATATAAAATCTTTACCTTCTACTAGTTCTTTGTATTATGTAAACTACTATAATAATTACGTAATTTATACAATTTATAAAATTATATATGTAGTATATGCTTACTTAATTGATACTAATCAAAGTTTAAAACAATATAATAAATCATATTGACTGCCGTTACATAATTAATAAAATAACACTTCCCACGATGTGGAATCATAAAACCAACATTAATTAACACCTCTGTACGCAAATAATATTGACAAAAAACCTGATGATTTATGCTTTATAAGATGTTTAAACCTAACTAACCACGTATATACACCTGCTTGTTATCTACCTTATTCGCAAAAATACTAAATGCAAAACCTGTTATTGTATTTTCAATTTTTCGTCTAATCAAAAGTGTATTGACAAACCTATGAATTTGTTTAGGGCTAATTTGGTAAACGCCACTCCTTCCGGCGGACCTGTCATTAGAACCCCTTATCCATACCCTGCTGCTTGGATACTGAAATCATTCCTAAATAAATAAACTTATTGAATTTTCGTCTGATAAAGAAGCTTTTGTAAATACTTCTGTGAAAACGGGCGACAGTGTTTTATTTGCTCTCACTATCTGTGTAATAGTTCAGTCCTAAATAATATTTTATAGATAGATAATAGGAGAGTCAAGTCTAGATGCAGATTGTACATCGTAATGTTAAAAATAAAGCCATAAAGACCGGTGGTGTAGGGTGCTGTTAACTTATCTCTTTTATTTATTCTTCTTCATTTTAAAACATATCTGATATTGCGGCTTTGATATAATATCATTATTTAAATTAAATAAAACATGTTAACGGTTTAAAGGCGATATCTTTTAGTTAAACTGCTACTACTCCCCGAGACCACGGCTGCTGCAAAGCAACCGAAACTTTGGGCCGTAGTTAATATAATTTCCAAATAAGTATACTCGCGTAAGCTACAGACAGTATAATAATTAATCCTTACCAAAAAGAAGCAGTAATAGATCACTCAATGCCAAACTGAAGAGATAGTAGTTTGTGTCTGTATGCATGGCGGGATGTCGCACGATCACCACGCACACTGCCACGTTTCCTATAACCCCGGTCAGGAAAATCAGCAGCAGGAACACTGAAATCGGCACTATCCTCAGCAAGGGCAGTCTCCTCGGCCCCATCATACACCACAGCATCTCCTCCTCGCTGCAGTCGAACATACTAAGGTTCGTGCACCGAGCGTAAAATTCCTCGGCAGTTTCGTTCGCGCGCAAAAATTCCTCCATTTTCACTGTTTACGCACTATTAATAAACGAAATTAAGCAACCGAATTTACATTATTTGAATTATTAATTAGCTTATTTCTTGGATTTCATTCAAATAATACCGGCGGATTAATTTTCGTTCGCAAAGTTCGCACGAGCTTTTTGAGCGGGAGCTTTCCACACGAGTGCTCGACGCCGCAAGCTTCTTGTTACTAAAACTGAGGAGAATCGAGACATTGTCAAAAGGCCTACGAATTGCAATCATGCATTGGATGGATAGATAGATTTATAATTCTTTGTGTATGTAATTTCGTTCTATTTATGTTGTTTGTCATTATTACAATTCTTCCTGTTTAGAAATATATACATTTACTTATTTTTAATTTACGTTAACTTCGGTCCGACGTTTTAAACCTTTAGAATTTGTTTAATATAAATAAATATTAGTAGCGTAAAATACACCCAATACTAAACTTAAAAACTTTTACTCATATCATTGTCTTTCGGGCTGTTCGGCCGACGTTCGGAGTAAACATCTCCTGATGATGCCGTCCACACGTGATGGCGAAACGTCGAGAACCTCTCATCGCTCATATGCCGAACGATGGCCGTGAAAGCCTTACACAATTTATTAAAAACGTTTAATGTTTATAAAGTTTATTAATTATAAATTCATACATATCTTAAGCTTATTTTTATTGGAGACACAACTTACGATTTAGGGCAGACACTCAAATGTTTTTTTCAAAGGGTGAAAAGTGCATAAAAGTCCTTAAGAAAGAATTCAATATATCGTACAAGATTTCACGCGTAAGTGTTGTGTAAATTAAATACACTTTCGATTCTTTCGCTTTATGTCATTCTGTCACCTAAAGTTACAATTTAATAGGCTAAGTTAGATGTCGGTTTTAAGATAAAGTCCAAACGATCACCAATTAAGTCCGTCGTTCTGTTAATCTGCAAGATTTAGAAGTGAAGATGGGCGGAGTCAAACAACTAACCCCCTTAATTCCAGTGAGAGCTACTCAAACAATTTAAGCAGTCGGCTGTAAACCGGAAACAAGGAAATCGATGTATGACTTGATACAGACGAAACATGCAACAGCACTTGGGGTAGGCATATGCATTAATTCATGAATGCAATAAACGCCAGCTGAAAAGAATCATTGAATCATTACGTGTGATAAAATGTATATAAGCAATTAAAGTCTTTGTTAAACCTCGGTTTTACCCATTTAGAAAATGTAATAGTAAGTTTTATTTCTGTCTCAGTATATTCTAATCGACTAGACATATCTATACTAATATTATATAGCTAAAGGGTTTGTTTGAAAGCGCTATTCTCAGGAACTATTCGGTCCGAATTATTATTTCTTTTTGTGTTGGTTAGACCATCTATGAAGTGCTGTGACCCAAAAACAGAGGGAAAAGTGGAAAAACGGGGGAAATTATTTATCTTTGAGTCTGTCCGTTGCGTGCGCTGCGAAAACGGTTTAAAATACGTATGGTTCACGTTTTAAACCGTTAAAAGTATCCTACTTAAATAAAAACGGTGTTACTTTTATAGCAAGGATTTCTTGGTGGTTATTTAAATGTGTACTACTCGCGAGAACTACGACAATACTCAACATCGTTTTTATTTTATTTCCTGTTGTACAATTCGTTCAGTCGTCCACGTATGATCGGCCCAATAAATTGGACCGCAAACCGAACACGAGAAGGGAGGTCACGATTCCATAATGTGTGGAATCTCTGCAACTCGCTGAAACTAAAATTTTCTCTTTACCAACGGATAGGTACAGTTTTCTTATGAATTATATTCGATTCAATTTCGTGTCATTTAAATTGGGTTGTGTTGAATAAACTGTCGCAAAGTGCTTCTAGTTTAGCGTTATAGTCTATTTTATTTTATTTGTTTTATTTATACCAATCATTCCGTGGTTTTGATTGTACATTGCAAGCCCTATCTAAATTTACCTTGTGGTTTAGAAATATAGATTTTTATAAATTGTCGACCTACACACACTGATTGTTATCGCTTTTTCATCTGTAGATGGTGGCTTTCCCACACAGAGTTTCAGAAACCTCTAACCACCTACTTACTATAAAGATTTTCAGATGAAGCCCAATATTACAGAAAAATTGCGATTTAATTTGAAATATGGTGACCCGATGGGGTCGTCCCCACCACCCGCTGATATTTAGTTATATATTACATATTATTAAAGTATACACGAGCACAACATACAAGAGAGTTATCTCTGCAGCAGCTGATAACCTAATGTATAAATATTTATAACCAAGTCTACTTAAGCGAGCAAGAATTGTGAAAAAACTAGAAATCCAATTCACAGACTAGGACCGATCGCCTATCAGTTTCGAGGGCGTACTATTACAGCATATTTTTTTACAAAAACCGTGCACTAACACGAAAGCTCAACGGACGGTGAAATTAACTTTACTTTGAATATTACGTTTGATCAGTTTTAGCGTTCTACAAAATATCTTTGCCCTATTTTAATATTGCGTTTAGCAGTCTAGATAACTGAGCAAATATCCTAAGGAAACTAATCATTTTAATCACTTACTTTTATAAGAGAAATAGTAGGAAAATTACAAAATGCCTCTTCAAATATCTCGTTTCAGATATTTTACAATCAAAGGCTTTTCTAAACATCTTCATTTTCTAAACATCATCTACATTTCCTCGACTCAATTCCCGCGATAAATAACCTATCGGAAGCTGAAACAAATTAGGGGCCTCGATTCTCCCGTGGGCGATATGTCAAATCTCTAACCGATGCAAATGTTTGTTAAGCAAATATCGTTTTTATCAAAATAATTTTACGGTCTAGTTACTGTTGATATTGGTCGAAATTAATGCCTCTACGAGAATCACTGTCCCGAAGCGGTGTAATCTCAAACCAATAGATATGTTAATCAGACACTGCATATAAACTTCCTACATACAAAATTAATTATTCATTTGCTTATGTATGACTAATTTCATCTCACTTAAAGCAGAGTAATAAAACATCGTTTGTATAAATTAAAAATCGATTTTAGACTGACAAAAATCGGGCAGGAATCATCGATTTTGAAATTTATTTAACGCCATCATTAGAAAAATACTTAAGTTTTTAAACAGATTGTAAAGTTATTTAGTTTTATAAGATCTACAATTCTTTTATAAATGTTTTTAATATCTAAACAAAAATAGATGCCGTAATGTACACTGGTTCTGATTACAGTAAAAGTTAGCTTAGGCAAAAATATTCTGACTAAGTAGGCCTAGGTAAATGAGATCTGGGCAAGTAAAATGAGAGACCAGATAATAAACCTCAAATTGTTCAGCGTTGATGAGATTTGGCGAGTTAATATTAGTAATTAACTATGACTTATGTTTCACGTAAGTAATTAAATTATTTATAAAATATTAAGTTTTTAATCTTACGTTGCCGTACCTACCATGTACGAATTAATCACATTCGCTTTACACATGTATTTGTACCATACAGAAGTACATATGACAAGATCATAAAGCAAATATAATATGTTAACAAAAATATGTAACAAAATTTAAATAAAACACTATAACGGTTTAAAACGCGATATATATAAACTAATTTAAACATTATTTTAACTAATGCTCGACGTTTCTAATAAGTTTAACTAATACATATCGCGTTTTAAACGGTATAAGTGCTTTATTTTAACGTCTAGCGTAAACTACAGAGAGTATTTATGTAACATCAATTAAAATTGTAATTATGTAAAAGTTGGAACATAATTTGGTCAGCATTAATGGTTTTGATCGTCTGAAACGGAATTTGCAATGATGTGGTTAATGGCTAGTCAATTCAGAAAGTCACGTCAGCTTAATTTGATGTTAAATGATAGCTATGTTTTTTAAACACGATATTGAAATTGCATTTTATACGTGATGCTTTTACGCGGGCTCGGTGTTTTTATGAAGTGGTTTCCGACGATTCTTTTCAAACATAGTCAAATGGGTGTCGATCAACTCGTGAAGACACCATCATCTCACACCATATAAAAATTTAACTATAGTTTTAATCATCTAAACTATAATTAGCAGATGATGAGATGTATATATAATCCTTTCACAACACAATAGATAGAATGTATACAAACATAACAATGTCCACAGTCTCTTATCTTGCAAAGGCTTCTCAACGTACAAAACAAGTTAAAACGTAATTTTTGTCATTGTCACAAACAGGAGTGCTTCTTGTCCTTTTATGAAACATGAAAGATACGCTTATGAGATAAAACTAATATTTCCACAGCAGTAGACGTCAGTGAACTCTTGAAAGCGTGATTTAAGGAGATAACTTTTCCGTGATCCGTGAACCGATAACAGGGTTGAAAGCTCATATTTCCCGCTTAAGTAAATTTGTACATCTTTGAACTTTTAGACCAATAGAACATTATACGATTAAATATGATAATCCGGAAAAATACCTATACTTTCGAACTGAGAACTTATGTCACGTGTTAGTAACTTTGCTTGTGCCAATCTTTAGAGAGAAAAGTTTCCTAAGTTTCATAATTTATCTTTGTTGGCTAATTTGTCACTAAAGAAAAAACTTAAATCATCGCTGATTTCCGATTATATAATTGATCATAATAAAATTAGAAAACCGTTTTCGTGAACTATGAATAAAAGTACCCTACCAGTGTTCACTAATTGCAATCGTAAAGCACGTTAATCTTGGTCCCTAATATTTCACTACGCTTCATTAGTTAAACATAAAGCGTCGTAAATAGCAATTGTTTTGTTTCTCGCTAAACATTTGACCGTTAACAATTCTCAATAAATAATCGTAATAAATTTCGCTTTCTGTTCTGGACCATTGGCCATGAAAGGTCGTTTAAATTGTATTCCGCCATGAACAAATAACAAAAAGATCAACGACCGCGCTTTACTTCGAAACTAAAAGATATTTCCTCTTTTTATTTAGGGGTTGATGATTACAGCTGAATCTATAAATGTAGGT